GACTTCATGTGTCCCCCCCAGCACCTGGCTCACCTGTGGGACTGTGCTGTGTCCCCCCCAGCACCTGGCTCACCTGTGGGACTGTGCTGTATCCCCCCAGCACCTGGCTCACCTGTGGGACTGTGCTGTGTCCCCCCCAGCACCTGGCTCACCTGTGAGAGTTCATGTGTCCCCCCCGGCACATGGCTCAGCTGTGGGACTGGGCTGTGCCACAGGGGTAGAGCTGCCCAAGACCATGGGAACCCACCTGTTGCATCAGCATGACCTGGGTGTGAGACAGGTGTCAAGCAAGATCATTTTCAAGCTTAAGAATTTGACTGCCCTGCTGGATTTCTGACTTGCCTGGGCTGTGTAAGTCCTTTGTTTTGGCCAATTTCTTCCATTTGGAATCTTTTTTGTTTGTTTTGTTTTGTTTGTGACCGAGTTTCACTCTTATTGCCCAGGCTGGAGTGCAATGACAGGATCTCGGCTCACTGCAATGCGCTCTGCCTCCTGGGTTCAAGCGATTCTGCTGCCTCAGCCTCCCGAGTAGCTGGGGGGCCCGCTTTGGCCTCCCAGAGTGTGGGGATTGCAGACATGAGCCGCTGCGCCCGGCTCAGAACGGTTGTATTTATGGAATGCCTGTACCCTCTCTGTATCTCGGAAGTAACTAACTTGCTTTTGATTTTACAGCCACATAGGCAGAAGAGACTTGCCTTGTCTCAGATTAGACGTTGGGCTAGACTTTTGGGTTAATGCTGAAATAAGACTCCGGGGGACTGTTGGGAGGGCGTGATTGGTTTTGAAGTGTGAGGACATGAGATTTTCAGGGGCTACGGTGGGATGATACGGTCTGGCTGTGTCCCCACCCAAATCTCCACTTGGATTCCATCTCCCAGAATTCCCACACGTTGTGGGAGGGACCCAGGGGGAGGTAATGGAATCAGGAGGGCCAGTTTTTCCTGTGCTATTCTCATGATAGTGAATAAGTCTCACGAGATCTGATGGGTTTATCAGGGGTTTCTGCTTTTGCTGCTTCCTCATTTTTTCTCTCTTTCTTTCTTTCTTTTGAGACAGAGTCCTACTCTGTTGCCCAGGCTGGAGTGCAGTGGCACAATCTCAGCTCACTGCAACCCCTGCCTCGGCCTCCTGAGTAGCTGGGATTACAGGTGCCACCACCATGCCTGGCTAATTTTGTATTTTTAGTAGAGACGGGGTTTCACCAGGTTGGTCAGGCTGGTCACGAACTCCTGACCTCAGGTGATCCTCCTGCCTCGGCCTCACAAAGTGCTGGGACTACAGGTGTGAGCCACCACGCCCGGCCCTCATTTTCTCTTGCTGCCACCATGTAGGAAGTGACTTTCACCTCCTGCCATGATTCTGAAGCCTCCCTAGCCATGTGGAACTGTAAGCGAAGCACCTCTTCTCCCTCAGCCTCCTGAGTAGCTGAGACCACAGGTGTGAGCCCCATGCCCAGCTAATGTTTAATTCTTTGGTGCAGAGTTTCCTCATGTTGCCTAGGGTGGTCTTGAAATCCTGGGCTCAAGCAATCCTCCCGCCTCGGCCTCCCACATTGCGCCTGGCCTCCTTTAACTCTGTGAAGGTCTTTTCTGTTCATTCCTGAGCACGGCTGCGATCGCTGTTAGTCTTTGCTAACACCAACAACTTTGAGGGCTGCCTCAAAGTTGCTTTCTGTTCTCTGTTTTTTGTGTTTCTCGGCTTGATTATGGGTCGTATTTTCTTGTTTCTTTTCAGGTCTTGTGGTTTTTGTTAGGCACCGAATCGTCCATGGTGGACACTCTGGATTTAGGTATCATCCTCTGAAGAACGTTGTTTTCGGCTCCGGTGGCTGTTCAGCTTCTGGCCGAGTTCCTTGAACCTGGGCCTGTGTCTTCACGTTTTGTCAGGGGCTCTTCGGAGAGCCCAGGGCATTTGTCAAGCCCCCTAAGCTGGGTGGGACCCGGCCCCCGCCCGGAGGCGGTCCTTCTCCGGCTCCCCGGGTCGCGGAGGGGATCTGGCGGGGGCTCTGGAGCCAGCCTTCCTCCCGGCGAGGTCTTCAGCTGTGGCCGTTCTGGGCCCGGCTGTGTTGATGGGGCCCTTCCTCGTGGCTGCGCTGGTGGCCCCTGGTGTCTCCATCAATGCATTCTCAGCGCTGGGGCTGAGGGTCCTGGGAGCCTGGGGTCCTCCCGCCGCGCGTCCTGCAGGTGCGGCCCCCTCGGCTTGGCGGGCTCGGGTGGGGGGCGCCGCGGTGCTGGGGGCGCCTTGGGCGCGGCCTTGCGGTGGGGAAACGCGGCCTCACGCTGCCAGAAACGTCCTAAGATCTGTCGTCCGGGTTTACGCCGTTTGCGAAGGAAGAGCGGCAGCCGCGCCCCCGAGAGCGGAGTCCGGAGATCGCAGCCCCACGCGGGGCGGCTGCCGTGGCCTCCGAGGCGGTGAGTCCGCAGACGCGCCGCGGAACGGCCCGGAGGCTGTGCTGTGTGCCCAGCGGTGCGTGCTGGCCGCGGCCCGGGCGACCGAAGGCCACGGAGAGGCCGTGCCCGCGTGTGGCTCCGAAACGCCCCGCCTAAGGGCTGCCTGGGGGAGGCGGCGCCCGCGCTGGGATCTGGAGTTTAAGCGCCGTGTGCGAGGCAGAGGAAGCCACACACTGGAAGAAAGCCTTTTTATGCGGCCATGTAAGCAGGTAGGAGGAGGTGAGCCCTGTAACTGCAGATAAGGGTTTTGCATCCACAACACTCCCCGGGGTCCGGTGTGGGGGGCTCACGAGCGCCTGGCATCCCAGCACTTTGGGAGACCAAGAAGGGCGGATCACCTGAGGTCAGGAGTTCCAGACCAGCCTGGCCAAAAGGGTGAAACCCCGCCTCTACTAAAAATTAGCTGGGTGTGGTGGCAGGTGCCTGTATTCCCAGCTACTCCGGAGGCCGAGGCAGGAGAATCACTTGAACCCAGGAGGCAGAGGTTGTGGTGAGCTGAGATTGTGCCACTGCAGTCCAGCCTGGGCGACAGAGTGAGACTCCATCTCAAAAAAAGGGCAGATGTTGTCGCTCACGCCTGTAATCCCAGAACTTTGGGAGGATGAGGTGGGCGGATCACGAGGTCAGGAGTTGGAGACCAGCCTCTCCAACTTGGTGAAACCCCACCTCTACTAAAAATACAAAAAAATTAGCCAGGCGTGGTGGCGAGTGCCTGTAATCCCAGATACTTGGGAAGCTGAGGCAAGGAGAATCGCTTGAATCTCGGAGGCAGGGCATGCAATGAGCTGAGATTGTGCCACTGCACTCCAGCCTGAGGGACAGTGTGAGACTCCGTCTTAAAAAAAGCCAACCAAACAAAAAACAGGGCGGGCACAATGGGTCACGCCTGTAATTTCAGCACTTTGGGAGGTCGAAGCAGATGGATCACCTGAGGTCAGGATTTCAAGACCAGCCTGGTCACCATGGTGAAATCCCGTCTCTATTAAAAATACAAAAAATTAACTGGGTGTGTTGGCGGGCACCTGTAGTCCCAGCTACTCAGGACGCTGAGGCAGGAGAATCGCTTGAACCCAGGAGGCGGAGGTTGTAGTAAGCCGAGATTGCACCTCTGCACTGCAGCCTGGGCAATACAGCAAGACTCTGTCTCAAAAAAACAAAACAAAACAAAAAATACTCTGGGGGAGCCTGCAGTTCGCCTGGACCCTAATGGAGCTGTGTGCTGGGCCGGCCTCAAGGGCGTCACTCCGAGGTCCCTGTCCTGCAGGGGCAGCAGGTCCCATGGCGCCCTTGCCCTCTGAGGGAGAACACCTCCCTCCCGTGTGGCTCCCCCAGCGGCAGGACACACAGCCTGAGGGGGACGTGATGGGGGGGTCACGCTGTCCTGGAGAACAGGCCCCTCTGCATGCCCGAGAGGTTCTGTCTACCGAGCCCTCCCCAGGGCCCCTCCTACCCCCCGCCCTCCCGGCTGAAAGCGGGGGCGGCTTGGCGTGGAATGGGAACACAGGGTCCAAACTTGGCGGCCGTCATCCCAGCCGGGAGAGGAGAGTGCCCAGCAACTGGGGACCCCATCTGGGGCACCCTGAGGCACCAGGTCCCTCCACCACCTCCAGGGGCCGCGGGCATGGGCTGCTTGTTGGAGTGGGCTCTGCATTCAGGGACCCCACCCATCTGTCCATTTCTGCAGATCCTCCTTAGCTGCAGCCCCAAGGATGGACCCAGGAGACGCTGCTGGTGACCCCGCCGCTGGTGCGCGCCGCTGCACAGGTGAGTCTGAGCCGGATGGTGCCCAGTCCCCTTGGGACTGTGGGGGGAGGTGCGTGGGGTGCTTGGGGGGAAGTGTCACCCACTCTGTACTCGGTGACGAGGGCCTGGCTGCCGATCCCCAGCTGTGGGCCTCTCTACAGTGTCCACGGCATGGGACCCTGTGAGTCTGGAGGCCCTGCCGTGGCCTTGTGGTACTCAGGGGTTCTCAGGACAGCTTGCCCCCTCGGGCCCCAGCATGGGTGGCCTGGCGCCAGGCCTGTGACAGCGTCCCGAGGGAGGCGGCGGGGGCAGTGCAGCCGCTCAGGGCTGGCCGCTGAGGGGTAGCTCTGGTCCCCTGTGTCCCTCGGGATGCAAGGCGGAGGGCCGAAACCCCCTTGGGTGCTCAGCACTGCCTCCTGGGGTTCAGGGAACCCGCAGTTTCTTGTGTGGCCCTCAGCGATCCAAGTTCTGTAAATGGAGCCATTCTTCATCCCTTGGGTTAAGGGCGTCTGCTCTCCCAACACCTTCCAGGTCAGAGAGAGAAATGAGAAGTGCCTTCCCCCACGGACAAAGCAGAGGAGTGGCATCCCTGCGTAGCCCGAGGGGAGGTGCCACCCAGGGCGCAGGGCTCCACCCGGCCTCCCTCCCTGCCACTCCTGCAAACCCAGACCCTGCAAAATGGGGACTGGGTCGGGTTGGGGAGACAGAAGCTGGGAGGGAGCAGAGGATGGGAGGGAGCGGAGGCTGGGAGGGACAGGAGGCTGGGAGGGAGACAGAGGCTCGGAGGGAGCGGAGGCTGGGGGGGAGCGGAGGCTGTCTAGTGCCAGGGGGTCAGCCCAAGCCCCAGACTCTGCTCTCTGTGCCTGGGCCAGGCTGGGTGGAAGCCTCCTGGGAGGGGCTCGGCTGGGCCCCGATGGGAGCCGTCTGGGCCGGGGCTTTGAGGGCAGATGGGGGTAGGACCCAGGGCCCCTTCACGGCTTCCACCCTGCGGTCCTTGTGAACAGCAGCGAGAGCTGAAAGCCCAGCCTGGCTGCCTGGCCCCGGCTGTAGACCCTGGGTTTGTGTGGGTTTACTGCCTTTTCACTCGCCACCCCCGGCCTCTGCCCAGGCCCACCCTGCACATGCCCCTCCATAGGGCAGGGCCACAGCCCTCTTCCCTGTGAAAGCCCCGCTCCCATGTGGCAGTGGCCAAGGCTCTCTGCCTCAGTTTCCCTATCCCACGAGGCTGCGCCCTTAGCCCCGGACCCTCCCGGGGCTTTCTCTCTGCCTTTCTCTTCTGCGTTCCCGGCTTGGCTCATGCTGAGGGCAATGGCGGTGCCCCGGGCATGTCACCTTCCCTGAGGTAGCCAGGCCGCAGCATCCCAGGGGAGGGCCACCTCTGAGCTGGGCAGGGCTGGTGTGGACGCTGCCCCTCTGCAGGCACAGCCCTGTCCATCCCGTGGGGCTCCGACCACCCACCTGGCCCTCTCGGGATGGGCCTAGACCCCTCACTTTTCCGTTCATCCGCCGCCTCCTCTGAGGCCCTCTGTGGGCCCCAGGCCAGCCCCTGTGTGGGATGAGGCCCTGTTACCTCCCCTGGAGGCCGCCCTGGGGGCCAGGGAGCACGCCGCAGCTGGGCTTCGCCTTGGCACAGAGCCAGCTCCCTGCACAGGTGGCCATGGCATCTACAGCCTTTTCTCCACCTAAGCAGAGTGGGATGTGTTCAAAGTGCACCACCAGCAGCACAACTGAGGAAGAACCTCGGCCCTCCTGGAACAGACACGGCGCTTCCTGAAACAGTCTCAGGGCTCCCTGGAACAGACACTGCACCCCTGGAACGGACACGGCGCCCTCTGGAACAGACACGGCGCTCCCTGAAACACTCTCAGGGCTCCCTGGAACAGACACTGCACCCCCTGGAACGGACACGGCGCCCCCTGGAACGGACACGACGCCCCCTGGAACGGACACGGTGCCCCCTGGAATGGACATGGCCTCCCCAGAATAGACAAGGCCTCCCCAGAATAGACATGGCGCTCCTGGAACAGACACGGTGTCCCCTGGAACAGACGCGGTGCTCCCGAACAGACACGGTGCTCCTGGAATAGACACGGCGCCCCCTGGAACAGCCGTGGTGCTCTCTGGAACAGACATGGAGCTCCCTGGAACAGACATGGCCCGCCCGGAATAGACACAGCGCTCCTGGAATAGATACGGCGCCCCCTGGAACAGCTGTGGTGCTCCCTGGGACAGCCTTGGTGCTCTCTGGAACAGACATGGAGCTCCCTGGAACAGACATGGAGCTCCCTGGAACAGACATGGAGCTCCCTGGAACAGACATGGCCCGCCCGGAATAGCCTTGGTGCTCTTTGGAACAGGCTGGTGCCTAGAATGGCCACATCCCCCACCCTCCCTGTGCCACTTCAGGCACCTGCCCTGATGTGGTGTGTCCAACTCTGTCAACAAGGCCAGCCCCACCAGAGGCCCCAGCTCAGCCTCCCTAGCAGGCTCCTCTACTCAGGCTCTGGGTCAGCCTCTTCCCGGGAGGTGTCCTGGCCCCTGTGCTGGCCCAGCCTCGCTGCCTGTTCACCTGTCTGTGCCGTGCTGGTCACTGGGCAGGGCCATCCTGTCTGTGGCCCCCGGGACTGTGCCCCGGACAGTGGGCCTGGGTTTGTCCTGGACTTCCTTTTAGGCTAGAGTGCCTGGGTCCGGGTCATTGGAGGAGCGTCTCCGTGGCCACCTGTGTCCTGTTCTGGAGAGGCCCTCCCGGGCTGGGCCAGGGGGTGTCATCAGGGAGGGGACAGGAGAGGGGCGCTGAGCTCCTCTCTCCCTCCCCAAGGCCAAAAAACATTCTGCTTCTGAATGTCCACGGCACTCACAGATTCCTTTCCTCCTAAAGCGTCAGCCTTTGGTGAGCAGGCGGAGTTGAGGCTGGAAGGCCGCGTCGCCGGTGTCCACCTGGTTCCGGGTTTCCCGGGGCGCTCGAGCCGGAGCCTTTCTTGGGAAATTCAGAGTCCCACAGACGGCGTTAAATTGCGGCTCAGCACCGAAGAAGCAGGCCCTGCCCTCTGCAGATGCAGCAGCCCCAGGACGCTGTCCTGGGTCCCCTCTCCCTCCCCGTCGCGCTGGGCTCCCTGATCCTGGGCCTGCTGCCTGGGGCCGGGGCTGTGGCCAGCCCCACATCCAGCGTCCACACTCCAGGCAGGGGCTCCTCAGCACCCGCCCGGGGTGGACACGGCGGTGGACAGGCAGAGCCCGCAGGAGAGGCCGCTTCTCCTGTGAAGGCCGTCTTTGAGGGGCTCCGTGATGAACACGTTACGCTCGTGACACACCGTGAAGGTGCAGGTTCCTGGAGGCGCCTCCCTCTCAAAGCCTCACTGGGGCACTGTGGCCGGGGGTGGGTGGGGGCGCTTGAGGATGGTGGCGGCCGAGGCCCCGCTGGGGGGGTGGGAAGGAGAAGCTGCCAAGGCCGCCTGCCGTCTCCGCCCCACCACGGGCGCCCAGAGGCGTAGGCACCACCCACCTACAGGACCCTGTGGACGGGTCTGTCGTCGTCCCACGCCGGGGTCACAGGCTCTTTTCCACAACCTCTAGGCCGCCCTCACCGTGTCCCCAACCCCTGCCCTCAGCGCCCACTGGCCTTGAGCTGGCCCGGGGCCTGCCCAGGCGCGGCTGGCAGGGGGTGGGGCTTTCTCTGCCCCCAGGGCTGCAGAGCCAACGTGGGGGACTTGAGGGAGACAGGAGGGAGGTCACAGCTGGCCTCATAAAACCGTGAAAACAGGCCCCGCACTGCTACCAGCAGAGAGGCCTCACGAGCTTCCTCACTGTGTGACCGGGCAACGTCACGGACCTCGCTGACTGGTGATTCTAACACCAAGACTGCGCTTCATTTCTTTGTGAATATTCAAAGGGTTCGTTTATGTAAAACACCGAGAACATACTGCTGTCTTTCTCTTTTTTATTTATTTGTGTAATTTTTATTTTATTTATTTAGAGATGGAGTCTTGCTCTGTCGCCAGGTTGGAGTGCAGTGGCCCGATCTCGGCTCACCGCAACCTCCGACTCCCGTGTAAGCGATTCTCCTGCCTCAGCCTCCCGAGTAGCTGGGACTACAGGCGTGTGCTGCCATGTCCAGCTCATTTTTGTATTTTTAGTAGAGATGGGGTTTCACCATGTTGGCAAGATGGTCTCGAACTCATGACCTCGTGATCTGCCCGCCTCGGCCTCCTAAAGTGCTGGGATTATGGGTGTGAGCCACTGCGCCCGGCTGATCCGATTTTTTTTTTTTTTTTGACACAGTCTCGCTCTGTCACCCAGGCTGGAGTGCAGTGGCGCAATCTCAGCTCACTGCAACCCCCACGTCCCGGATTCAAGTGATTCTCCTGCCTCAGCCTCCTGAGTAGTTGGGATTACAGGCGCCCACCACCACGCCTGGCTAATTTTCGTATTTTTAGTAGACGCAATTTCTCCACGTTGGCCAGGCTGGTCTCAGACTCCCAACCTCAGATGATCTGCCCACTTTGGCCTCCCGCAGTGCTGGGATTGCAGGTGTGAGCCACTGCGCCTGGCCTGTTACTTTTTGAAGACAGGCTCATCATCTTCAAGACTCCTGTTGTAGGTAGGATCTTTTTCCCAGCAGATTTTCTGACCTGAGGTTGCAGAATGATATCTGGAGCCCTCTCTGTCCCTCTCTGCGTGGCATCTGCCTCCTGCGCCCTGGGCTGGTATAGCCCTCTCCCTCTCTGCCTCTCTGTAGGGTCCAGGGCTCCCACCTCATCCCACCTTCCCAGCAGAGGCAGCCTGGGTTCAGGCTGGGTCAGATTCTGTGTCCAAGGCCCTCGGCTGCACGGATGAGGCAGATGAGTGGGCCTGAGAGTGAGGGGACCCGTGACCGGTGAGAGACGGTGCCGTGCTGGGGTTGCGGGCTGCTGCGTTGATGGACAGAGCAGGGGCTCCCGGGCCAGATGCTGGGTCTCCAGGGTCCTGGACACCCCGCTCCCCAGATGTGAGCCTCTGGGTCATGGGCACCCCACTCCCCAGATGTGAGCCTCCGGGTCGTGGGCACCCCACTCTGCGGATGCAGGAGGTCCTCTTCGGGTGAGCCAGGGTGGAGGACGCACGCCGCCCACTGGGCTAGGGGTCTCATCGCCACCTCCATCCTTACCGTGTCCCCTGCCCTGCCTGCAGCTGAGCACAGGCGGATGTGGGTGAAACCTGAGACCAGAGACAGTTGGGCTGCAGGGGGTGGCCCCTGTCTCAGCTGCCCCTGGAGGCCAGAAGGCCTCCGGGACCCAGACTCTCAGCAGAGGGACGGAGGCCCCAGTGTGTGGTGGGTGGGTGCATCCTCTCGGACCCCGCCCGTGGGAGGTGCCGTGGGGTCTCTGAGGGGAGCAGATGCTGTGGGCTGGCCCTTTCTGCTGTCTGCGGGTGGCCAGAGGGCTGACCCAGTGGGGTGCTGCGCTGAGCTGACAGCAGGTGCCCGGCCCATGGGCAAGGAGCAGGTCACTGCAGCGCCTGGGGTCTGGTCCGGGTGGCCGGCTCTCCTTCGCTCAGCACTTTGTGGTCTGATGCTGCTGGCAGGTGCCAGACAGCCTTGCAGACTGGCTGTGTGAGCTTTGTGACCCAGGCCCCAAGAGGAGAGCCGGGCCTCAGGAGACACCCACGCAGGGGCTTTGTGGAGACCATGCATCGCAGGCTTTTTGCCCGGAGGCTGGGTGTCCACTGCCCAGTGTCCACTGCCCAGCATCGCTGCTGGGCTCAGCCTCAGTTCCTGGGGCTTCTGTGCCCCCAGTCCCACGGATCAAAAGTCCCCGTTTCTGCCCTTCCCCTTTATGGTGGAGTGTGGAGAGCAACAGCCTTCGGTACAGCCCACTCCGCAGCCGGGCTTCCTGGAGCGTCTGTCTCGGAGCAAAGGCGGCCATCAGCTAGTGCTGTTTGGAGGAAGTGGCGTCCCTGGGCTCTCCCCATCTGTACTCCCATCGGCTGGGCGGGGGGTCCCTGAGGCCAGGCTGACCTGAGGACTGCCGCGGACAGGGTGGAGCCGTCCTGGCCGCATCTGATGGGCACCCCCAGGCCAACCCCATGGAGTCCCTGAGCCCTCCTGGGCACGTTTTGGGGAGGGTGGCTGGGGCCCCCCAGGGAGAAGTAGCGCAGGGTCAAGATGTGAAGCCGCATTGGGGGGATGGTGAGACTTTTACTTGTGAGCTTGAGTTTCTTTTGGGGTGTCCTCCTGCCACACAGCTGCCCTGCTCTGCCCCACTCACATGATCCCGAGGAGTGAGGTCCAGGGTCACCTCCCAGCGGGAGCCATCTGTCTCAGTATCCCAGACCTGGCGTCTAGCCTCCCGTCAGCAGGTCCCAGGCGTCGGTGCGGCGCTGATGAACTTGGCGAACTCGGTGAACTTGGGCCTAGGGGTGGAGATACGGGGCCAGAAGCCACCCGCAGAGCGCTGGCCGAAAGTCCACACTGGGAACCAAAGGCACAAAGGGGTGACCGCAGGGAGGGCAGGCTGGGGCTTCTGGGGCCGGAGAGCGGGTCTGGGAGGTCCCTCAGCATCAGCTCCAAGCCCCACCTGCCCCTCTCAGACACCCCCACCTGCCCCTCTCGGACACCCCCCACCTGCCCCTCTCGGACACCCCCACCTGCCCCTCTCGGACACCCCCCACCTGCCCCTCTCGGACACCCCCACCTGCCCCTCTCGGACACCCCCACCTGCCCCTCTCGGACACCCCCACCTGCCCCTCTCGGACACCCCCCACCTGCCCCTCTCGGACACCCCCACCTGCCCCTCTCGGACACCCCCACCTGCCCCTCTCGGACACCCCCACCTGCCCCTCTCGGACACCCCCACCTGCCCCTCTCGGACACCCCCACCTGCCCTTCATGGACACCCCCACCTGCTCCTCTCAGACACCTTGCCCCTGCGAGGCCTCCATGACTTGGGGTGCTATGTACTGAGTGAGGTGTGTCCCCCGGGGCCCTCCCAGGCACCCCGTCCTCCCGCTGCTGGGCCTCGGGGCTCACAGAGCTCACTTGTCTCATTGGCTCAGACAGAAGCCGCCCCTGGACATCCTGTTTTTCTTCTGTTGTATGAACAGGAAGCCAGTGATTGTGTGACGAGTGTGAGCATGGCCGTGTCCAAGCCCGGCGGGGCAGAGACTCGGCCGGCCACACCCGCTGCGGTGCCTCCAGCTCTGGCCTGAGACCCGGGGCTCCCCAGTCGTGTGGGCTGTGAGCACCGTGAGTGCGCAGACGGCCCTGGAATGGCTGGGGTGGGCGCCGTGGAGTGCCCATCATCTACAAGCCACGGCCTGGAAGGAGACCCAAGCGGCCACTGCCCTGGGACTCTGTGTCAAGGCCACAGTGAACAGACGGGGGCAGAGGGGCAGCGGCGCCACGGGGGACTCCCAGGCAGGCTGCTGGGTACTCAGGAAGCAGCCTCAGGCCCAGGGGGCAGGGTCTGGGTCACAGGGAGGGTGGAGGCTGGGAGGGTGTATCGGGCCCTGGCTTTGACTCTCAGGCCCGGGGGCCATGGTGGAGTCCACAGAGAAGGGGCCTGGCCCACCCCATGTTTCTGTGGGATTCTAGGGCCGTGCCGGCTGCTGGCTGGGCATTGTCTGAGGGCACAGTGGCAAGGCAGGGAGGCCCCTGGGAGCTGGAGTGGTAGGGGGTGGGGCCCAGACCCTGCCCACCTGGAGGGCAGGACCAGAAGAACATGAGCAGGGCTGAAGACCACCAACACTGACATGAGGGGGGAAGACCACCAACACTGACGGGGTGGGGAAGACCACCAACACTGACATGGGGTGGGGAGACCACCAACACTGA